TATGTCGGGATTTTGCCTCTGTCGGGATTCTGAATATGTCGGGATTTTGAATCTGTCGGGATTTTGAATCTGTCGGGATTTAGAATCTGTCGGGATTTTGAATCTGTCGGGATTTTGAATATGTCGGGATTTCGAGCATACCGGGATTTTGAATCTGTCGGTATTTTGCCTCTATCGGAATTTTGAATCTGTCGGGATTTTGAATATGACGCGATTTTGAATATGTCGGGATTTTGCCTCTGTCGGAATTTTGAATCTGTCGGGATTTTGAATATGTCGCGATTTTGAATATGTCGGGATTTTGCCTCTGTCGGGATTCTGAATATGTCGGGATTTTGAATCTGTCGGGATTTTAAATCTGTCGGATTTTGAATCTGTCAGAAATTTGAATCTGTCGGGATTTTGAATCTGTCAGAATTTTGAATCTTTCGAGATTTTGAATATGTCGGGATTTCGAGTATGCCGGGATTTTGAATCTGTCGGGATTTTGCCTCTGTCGGGATTTTGCCTCTGTCGGAATTTTAAATCTGTCGGGATTTTGAATATGTCGGGATTTCGAGAATGCCGGGATTTTGAATCTGTCGGGATTTTGAATATGCCGGGATTTTACCTCTGTCGGGATTTTGAATCTGTCGGAATTTTGAATATGTCGGGATTTTGAATATGTCGGAATTTTGAATCTGTCGGGGTTTTCAATCTGTCGGGATTTTGAATATGTCGGGATTTCGAGCATGTCGGGATTTTTAGAGTGTCGGAATTTGTCCTTGTCGAGACTTAGATGTCGGGATTCCGGGTGTCGGGGTTTTGTATCACACTAGTTGAGATTATCTACGCCGAAAAAAAGACCCCGCTAAATATCAACCAAGTCAGGTAGGACCACATAGAGGTCTTGTATTTTGCGCGCTTAAGATTTATTGACTTTATATATACTTGGTGTAAATTTAATATCTAGTTTCGACCGATTGCATGAATTCTCTCGTAGAATGTCATGAAATAGAAACCGCCCCCGCACTAATATGGGCAAAACCATGATATAAAGGTAGCCTTATTGTCTGAATTTGCCAAGGTTGGTGTTATGCGATCTTCTTTATTTGAATGTTTGTGTTTGGCGGTAAGACGATGAACAAAATACAACATTTTAACTCATTTTAAACTGGAAAGGTGCATCTTTCGCTTACACATAATAACATATATAATATCTGTGTGTGTGTTTATTTTATACCTATATGGTATATATATAATTTTATTCAGTATATGAATAATTTATATTTGCATATATACACTCATGGACAAAACTTAAGGAAGTTGTATCTTTAGAATGTATATCAGGATTCAGACAATAACTCTGAAAATATTTGATACACGGTGACCTTTATTGAAGACATACGAGATAACCAAGTGTGAACAAAATTGACTCTGTCTCCTTCAAAAAAAAAAAAAAAAATAGACGACAGACGACATCAAAGTCTTTCCACTTAGGTTTTATCAATAAGTTTATATTTCTATTTACATATACTAGCCATAATTCTATTCATTATTATATTTGATTTCGTTGTTCTCATAATAATGTGTAAAATAAGCGAAAATTTAAATACCACCTAATGAAATTAGATGACCCAATTGTACAATGATATAGTAAAGACAATGAAGTAATACTGTTACAACACCCAACTCACTCCGGACCATATATACCCGGCCATCTTTACAGCCCTCTATATGGCAGACATCAATCCAGAAGAGGACATCCATACGGACAAGACACATGGGTTGGCCGGTATTGTGATCAGGGGGCATGGACCGATTTGATCTGCTCTATGGACAAGACACCACCACCTCAGTTGGCCGGTATTGTGATCAGGGTACATGGACCGATATGATCTGCTTCATGGAAAAGACACCACCACCTCAGTTGGCCGGTATTGTGATCAAGGTGCATGGACCGATATGATCTGTTCCATGTACAAGACACCACCACCACCTCAGTTGGCCGGTATTGTGATCAGAGTGTATGGACCGATCTGATCTGTTCCATGTACAAGACACCACCACCACCTCAGTCGGCCGGTATTGTGATCAAGGTGTATGGACCGATATGACCTGTTCCATGTACAAGACACCACCACCTCAGTTGGCCGGTATTGTGATCAGAGTGTATGGACCAATATGATCCGCTTCATGGACAAGACACCACCACCACCTCAGTTGGCCGGTATTGTGATCAGAGTGTATGAACCGATCTGATCTGTTCCATGTACAAGACACCACCACCACCTCAGTCGGCCGGTATTGTGATCAAGGTGTATGGACCGATATGACCTGTTCCATGTACAAGACACCACCACCACCTCAGTCGGCCGGTATTGTGATCAAGGTGTATGGACCGATATGACCTGTTCCATGTACAAGACACCACCACCTCAGTTGGCCGGTATTGTGATCAGAGTGTATGGACCAATATGATCCGCTTCATGGACAAGACACCACCACCAAAGACAATGGAGTTCAGCCATGGTTAGAGAGTATAATAGAGAAATGAATAACCCCCGAGTTATCGCCAATCAAGAAGATCATACCTCGAGGTATGAGGATAGAGAGATAACCAAGTCATCGTGTTGGGTCACCCAGTCAGGCTGACTCATGGCACGGGGCGGTTCCAAGATCCAGCAAGGATCCTCCTTCATTTATCTTCCGGCAGAGGGCGGGACTGATGTCGCGCAGGATGTCTTCGCCCTCGCAGATCTCAGCTGAAGACATCCGAGAAAGAACATCATCCTAAAACATGTTAGTGTACATAATAATAACAAAAACATTTTCAAATTCAATCATATAGCTTGATTTTATAAAGAAAGCCGTTAAAAATGAAGACAAACATTTTTTGTTAATATTTAGCCAAAATATAAAGATTATAAATATAGATAAAGAATTCTTTTCCTAGATTGAAATTAGACGAAAAACATGGTGAAGGAAGACGAGTTTCTTTTATTGATGCATAGGTGCAAGCTTTCGGGTAAAAACCCTTCAACAGGGTATATATGGTCCGGCGTGAGTTGCGTGTTGTGACAGTTATACTTCCTACCATTTGTACCATAGTTCTTATAAATCGCGCTTCAATGCTCGCCTGTTGAAGGGTTTTTACCCGAAAGCTTGCACCTATGCATCAATAAAAGAAACTAATCTTCCTTCACCATGTTTTTCGTTTAATAAAGATTATAGACTATGATAAATATGGTGGGTAGTATTTTGTGGCTGTTTACACACACTGAGAATAGATGGTAGTTACATATCTATATGGTTCCCTATATTTACATATTGTTACATCCGACGGTAGCTAAATGCGTCCACCACCTGTGTACTGGGGGGACAGACGGATCAATTAGGAAGAAAGAAGTCCAGCTGTGATCCCGATGTTTGTCTTTCCTAATTTTCCACGTGGCATTTTGGTGGAGATGCTGGGTAGATTCATGATGACAAACTGAAGATAGCCGAGCAGATATTGAGGCAATGGCTGCTGTGACCTAAATTTTCAGAGACTGGCTCTAGGATTCCACCGCAGTTTGAAAGCCAAGACTTTCTCCAAGATGACGATGTCCCTATAGACGATACGACGACAAAACCGCTCTTCACGCCTCAAGAAAAAGGACGCAAAGGTACTAAGGACAAAGTTCCAAGACTCCGATGGATTTTTGGCAGAAGCACGTCAGATCCATGTCAGCATCTACAATAATTGCAAGCTGTGGATCACAGCTCCCATAGGGAAGAAGCAAAGTATTTATTATTTTATTAACAGAGAATAAATTTTGATGTTTATGTTTTGTCACTCTGTAAACTTCCCTCATATTGCTTAACTTGTATTTTATTAATTGCAATTTGTTCTTGCCCTCCCATAAACTGATTTTCATCCTGAGTTTCCTAATTTTCCACGTGGCAATTAATATATTTAAGCTCACTCTAAAATCCCCGAATAGTACACTCATGGACAAAACTTAAGCGAAAACCTTTTAATGTCCCCGTTCGTCTATATATTGCCAACGTGAAAAATTAGGGAAGACAAACTTCAGGATGAGACAGCAATTTATTTAAGGCAAGAATAATAATAAATACTTCGCTACATAGCTCCTTCCCTATGGGAGCTGTGACCCACAGCTTGCAATTATTGTAGTTACTGACATGGATCTGACATGCTTCTGCCAAGCATTCCATCGAAGTCTTGGAACTTTGTCCCTAGTACCTTTACGTCCTTTTTCTTGCGGCGTGAAGAGCGGCTTTCTCGTCGTATCGTCGTTTATAGGGACATCGTCATCTTGGAGGGAAGTCTTGGCTTTGACACGGCGGTGGAATCCTGGAGCTAGTCTCTGAAAATGTAGATCACAGCACCCATGGCTTCAAATTCTTCTCGGCGATCTCCAGTTTGTCTTCCCTAGCTTACCCAGCATCTCCACCAAAATGCCACGTGGAAAATTAGGGAAGACAAACTTCAGGATGAAACATCAGTTTATTTAAGGCAAGAATAATAATAAATACTTCGATACATATTTTTTTAAGGAAACAGGCAATTTTGTTGTGTGTCTTCAATAAAGGTCACAGTAATATATTTCAGAGTTATTATCTTAAACCCGGGATACATGCTAAAAGATACAACTTCCTTAAGTTTTGTCTATAAGTGTATTTTTGTTATTTGCTTTTCAAAATGCATTGATGTTTTTTCTTATCCGAAGGTTTCAAGGTGTACCTGTAGTTTTATTAATTTGTTCTTCAGTTTAAGAGGCCATAAACCTTCATCCATGTAATAAATCTTTTAAAGTATTCTTGGCGAAGTACTTGAGATGACATTGCATGTCTTCATGCTGATCATTCGCCTTTCAATTCAGAAAATTTACTTTTAAAAAGTATTCTTATTCTATACAGATGATATATATAAACAATCTGTATATATTGTAGAACGACATGAGGTATGAAAGGGTAAATTGTGAAAAGTAATGATAAACGGAAAAATAAAAAGTGTCCAGGGATGGGAATCGAACCCACATTGTTCCGCTTACCATGCTTACCGATGCCATGTCCACTAGGCTACCCTGGACATATTTTTCCGTTCGTAAATAATACATAAAGTAATTTATAATACAATATAATATAATGCGGCTTGTGATTGTAAAACGACATTTGAAATACTATCCCGCATGTGTTTCTTTTCAACGAAAAATCAAAATTTATTTCAAGGAGAAATAATGATTATTTCTAACCTTTTGATGAGGTATGAAAAAATCTTAATGTTCAAAAATAATTTTAAAATGTAAAAAAAGTTCAGTTGTTGATATTAAAAACAAATTAGGCAAATCCTGAGTACTAACATGGGTGTTTTTAGATGGTAGACCGCCATCTAGTGAAATAGAAATCAACTAAACGTTTATTTAAACCTGTTCCCTGATATTTGGCCAACTCATCTTCTTGACAAATCAATGAAAGACAACCTTATACGCGTTTCGGGCTGTTGGTCCTCGTCAGCGTGGTACAGGTTGTACCTCTACGACCGTAAATGATTTCTGTTCCACCAGATGGCGCTCTGCCATCTAAAAAACGCTCATGTTACTGTTCAGGATTTGTCTGATTTGTTTTCAACTATCGATATATTAGATAAATCGTTTGACAAATCTTTACTTTACCTTTCCTTATTTCTTCTATTTTTAAGAATTAAATTTCTTACTGTGAAAGCTTGTAAAAAATAGGAACTTACCCTCTATTATTAAATTATTTATTTTTCTTTGTCGTCTGTTTTGCACAAGTTGAATCAGGTTAGAACGATGTGTGTAAATTAGATGATTCTTTTGTTGCCTTAAATACGAGGTAATTAACTCTCTCTATATCTAAAAATGTTTAAAGTTTTTTAATAAATTAATTTTATAAAAAAAAGAATCTGAGAGTTGTCTTCAAAAATGATCCAACACTTCTTATAAGAATTAAGATTGTCGTACACTAAGTGCTCTGCCTTCCAGCAAGGTCTGGGGGCCACCTCTACTCCACCAACTCGCTATATGTAAATAACTAGGACAGGGTGATTCGAATGTAACATCTGTAAATAGAGACGAAATAAATAAATAAGTATAAACACACTTAAAGTTTCACCGCATAAGTTTCTTTTCTGTGAAAAATCGATATTTATTTCAAAGAGAAATATTTACTATATCTAACTTTTTTGGATGAAGTATAAAAGGGTGAAAATATGAAGAGTAATGGCGAACGGAAAAATAAAAGTGTCCAGGGGCGGGAATCGAACCCACAACTTTTATTTTTCCGTTCGCCATTACTCTTCATATTTTCACCCTTTCATACTTCATCCAAAAATGTTAGAAATAGTAAATATTTATCTTTGAAATAAATATTGATTTTTCACAGAAAAGAAACTTATGCGGTGACACTTTAAGTGTTGTTTTATAATCATACGCCGCAGTCCTTTATAATGTATTATAAGTTACTTTAAGTATTATTTACGAACGGAAAAATACGTCCAGGGTAGCCTAGTGGACATGGCATCTGCCCGGTAAGCGGAACGTTGTGGGTTCGATTCCCGCCCCTGGACACTTTTATTTTTCCGTTCGCCATTACTCTTCATATTTTAACCCTTTCATACTTCATCCAAAAAAGTTAGAAATAGTAAATATTTCTCTTTGAAATAAATATTGATTTTCCACAGAAAAGAAACTTATGCGGTGAAACTTTAAGTGTTGTTTATAATCATACGCCGCAGTCCTTTATAAATATATAAGTGCCGTGTAACGCTTAGCCACTGGCCCCCAGACCTTGCTGGAAGGCAGAGCACTTAGTTTATGACAATCTTAATTCTTATAAGAAGTGTTGGATCGTTTTTGAAGACAACTCTCAGATTTATAAAATTAATTTATTAAACTTTAAACATTTTTAGATATAGAGAGAGTTAATTACCTCGTATTTAAGGCAACAAAAGAATCATCTAATTTACATACATCGTTCTAACCAGATTTAACTTGTGTAAAACAGACGACAAAGAAACCTAAACAAATTAATGGTAGAGGGTAAGTTCCTATTTTTTACAAACTCTTATCTTTGAACAGTTATTCTTTATTGCCAAGCCAAAACTACAGTAGAAGCATCTGAGGCAACAAGACTACTCAACTCCTAACACTGAACTGGACCCAACTTCATCTATACGTCCATTTATAGCACAAATACGTTAAACTGAAACTATCTAAATTGTGATACAACAAAGAACAAAAGATGACAAAGAGTAAACATACAAAGACACAATACTAAGTAAAGAAACGATACTATAGCAACAACAAAATTATGAAGAGATATAACAGCTTTATGATAAAATTAGATGATTTTTCATACTATATTGATTTTCTATAACGATTACCTTCAAGAGAAACCAATATCTTAACATCAATATAAGAAAAAATAAAGCTAATAGCTATAAAGAGATAAATGAGTAATAAAGGAAAATACCAAATGATATAAAACAATAATGGTTTAGGTTTTATTAATTCAAGATGAAGACTTCATCAAACTTTTTATAAACACACACATACAGGTTTATCAAGACCACCGGTCTTATCAGATTCACCACAGGAAGGAAGTATAGATGGAACTCCTATACTCCAGACAGCACAGAACCCAACAACAGCTTCCAGGTCCGACGCATGTTCAGTGGTCACAGATTCCACCGTGCATAATAATTCTCATATAAATACACACAGCTTTATTAAGACCACCAGTCCTATACAGATCCACCAGAGGAATAAAAGATAGATGGAGCTCCTATACTTCAGGCAGAGCAGAGCCCAACTTTTTATAAACGTTTATTGTCTTTTGACATTTCGGCGAACCGCTGTTGGCCTCTTCAAAAAAGTTGTAAAGATTATTTGAGAAGAATATTGGCTTTCAAACTTTTTGAAAAGATCGACAGTAGTTCGCAGAATTGTCATAGAAAATAATTCTTATAAAAATGTTGATGGAATCTTTAATTAAATTTTAAAATGTGAACAAAATATTAAACTTGCGAAACAGCTGGGAGAGTTCACCACTGATGAAATATTCCAATGGCTCCCGATTCTTGCAAAAGTCCAACCCCACCAGCAAGTGCAAGTAACCAAACAGCGCTATGACACATTTGTAAGTGCAAATTCGAAATGCTTTTCACATGTATATATATTTGGTGCACTTACAGTAAAAGCAGTCGCCTTTTTCTACCCACAATGATTATCATGGCCTGTACCACGTGTACTAGGGATAATAATAATAATAACATTGATGAGCCAGGCTATCCCATTATTTTATCATTGCAGTAAAGACAGTAGAAATTTATTTTAATTCAAAGAGAATCATACGCGTTAAAATAGTTTTTATTTCTTATAACACACACATAAAACCATTATTAGGGACTTGCCCCATACAGATTCTCCCAATTGGGTAAGGTAATAATCGTCTTGTGTTATCCATAGGTAGTAAGATGGAAATTGAACTGGCTTTACTCTTCGTCTCAAAGTCATTCACTTGTTGACTGGTCCTTACATAATAATGATCTAAAAAATTTATAGTAAGCAATACGTAGGGTGAAATGTTGGTACATTTAATTTGTTTATATAGTGCCTTCCTTTCTTCATCAAGGGCTGTACAATTAAGCAGGTAATGGGGGAGTTCTTCAGTAAATTCCTTGTCACACAGTGTACATATTAAGTTTTTGGCCTCAAATGTCAGAACGTGTTTTTTTTGAAGACTGTATATAGTATTCTCGATTGAGCTATGCATCGTTTGACTGATAAAGGGAAATCATCGGTTAGGTAGCATTCTGTTTCTATTGACGTATGGAAATTTTTATAATGTGGATAAAGTTTTGAATTTATTATTCTTGATTGGTCTTCTTGTATCGATTGATCTGACATTGTCCTAGTAATCAGAGGAATATAACTTTGCACAAAATTTTATTTCTGATAACAGATGGCCCGCTAACTCATCATATTAAAAGGTAAATGTGATGAATGACCTCTATAGACAATGTCATGGACGGGACATATGGGCAACATAGAGATACATTAGCGCGCCATCTGTTATGAAAATTCGAACTATTATAGACGCGTATGATTCTTCAAAAAATTAAACAAATTCTACTGCCCTTACTGCAATGAAAAAATTATTGGGAGGGCCTGGCTTATCAGTGGTGAATCCTTCCAGTGGTTTCGCCATGGTAGATTAAACTGGTGAAACCACTGGGATGGTTCACCACTTATGAGCCAGGCCCTCCTATTAATTTATCCATTGCAGTAAGGGCAGTAAAAATTTTGTTTAATTTTTAAAATAATCATACGCGTCTATAATAGTTTCGAATTTTCATAGAGAGATAATTGGTAACATAGACAGTTAAACAATAACAAAGTAGTCATTTAGAGAAGAACTGAGACCACACCAGGAAATAACATTTCCCCAGCGGTCGGAAAGGTAATCCGACTCTAACGTTGGTGAATGCAGCCCCGGATTCCGTCCTGTCCTAACATGATATTGTGGATCTATCTGTCCACTGTTGGAAGATGCGACATTTTTCAACCACGTGTCACTAAAAAACTAAAAGTGTCAAAGTATGTTGTAAAACTTACGGGAGAAAGAGGAATTATTTATGTTCCGACTATTCTTCTTTTTTCTTATCTACACTCAATCATATTAGGACATCAACTTGTAGAGTGATGATATGGGTGAAGTAGAATGCGTCTGCCTTTGTTATTAAGACTGGGAGCACTACTCAGTAGCAGACCAACTTAGCTCCAAAAGAAATGGCCTAATCAGACATAAGGAACGGACGCCATGTGCAGCCGCTCCTAACATGAAGTACAAACCCTTTTTTACCGTTAATTTTGTGAATAAAAGAGAGAAATTTCGGGGAAACTTTGAAAAATGAAATAAACGAATTATCAAAATTCTAAATAATCATAATGGTTTGTTTATATTAGTTGATATTTGTTCCGATAGATGGCATAATCCATCAGAAACCTTTAGTTGCACAATAAAGAGATACCTTTCCTTTTTTTATCCACCTGATCACAGAACAATTTC